TCCAGGAAGAATGTACAACATACCTGCACAGTGGCTTTTGGAAACCACGAAATGGCAACAAAAAACATCTCCTTGAGATTCAAAGTTCCTCCACTCACAATAAGAAAGCTCGTTACCAAGCGAATCTGGAAATATTTTATACAAATTATATTAACTTACTTTATGTCAAGAACAATAAAAATAAAATAAAAAACAACAACAAAACCTGCAGTGGGATGCCGATCATCAAGCAACCTGACAGGATATCAGGAAGGGTTATGAGCAGAGGATGTAAGCTACATTCATTTCCCCGAAGCAAAACACAGCATCATTTTATTATTTGCTCAATGGATTATGGAACACTAGAAAATGCAATTAAAACGAAGTCATTCATGATAATCCAGAAATTTTTACAATACTTGTTACAAATTACAATAAAATAAAATTTAATGTTTTAAATCTAATACTATGAAAGATAAATATTTATTTAAAACCATATACAAACATCCAAAAAACTATCTTTAAACTAGACATTCTTTATGGAATTCATTGTAATTGAGGAGTTGGATGGAAGAATGGCTTAACTTCAAAATCATACTTACCAAAGAAAAATGAGTTTGAAGTTTTCATGAATGATATTGCTGTATTTTCAGCATAGCAGAATGATAAACTGTCAAGCAGTACACTTATATTGTTAATTTCATAGGGAAAATTATGTAACCACTCAATGTAAAGAAAGTGTATTCATAATGCAGGTATCACAATATATGTAACAGTATACCTTAAGCAATTCTTCATTATTTTTTACTAAATGAAGTACCCTGTGCTGCCTGAATATTTATTATTAAGGAAAAGGAATGAATTCATCTAGTAGTAGTTTGTAGTGATCCGTGCTCTACCTTTGTCCACTCAGATCTGCTCTGCCTCAAAACTTCCTCATCCTACCTGATCTCAACCTGCCCCATCCCACTCGCCCAGCTCGACCTGTTCCCCTTTACCCTGCCCAATCGCGCCCACACAACTCTACCCTGTCCCTCTTCACTCAGTCCCATATCTCATCCCCGCAAGGGGGAACCATGACCATGGGGGTTAGCATTGTTTCTGTTGAAGATTTTTAAAAGGCCACCCAGACCGTAAGTTTCACTGCGGCATTCACCTTGTTAGCTTCAAGTGGAGGCAATGAGTAAGTGATGCTAAGCTCAGTGTTGCTAGCTTTGCCTGGAAATCCAGCAGTTGGGCCCCTGGCATGTCAACCTCTGGCAGGATTGGGCAAAGGACTTCTTTGGAATGATCCAGATCCCACATATAAAAGTCCAGATGGATACTGTGAACCCCATTGTCAGATTACCTACGTTCTGGTGATACGTAGATAGCTTCAAGGTAGGGAGGCAGACTGGGGGCCCTGAGGCCCTTCAGCTTCAGCTTGGAAGCCCCCAGTTGAGCACTTGTCTTCGTCATGGCAGTGGTCCGATACTCTGAGCATAGAGGAGGGACTGTCCTGCCACATTTTGAGTAGCGCATTGTTTCGATTCCGGCACTGGCCTGGAAAGTAGTTCTGAGCTGACAGGGCAGCTAGACCCATCCGATCCTCCAATTTCCGAAGAATAACTGCATTCCTGTGGGATCCAGATATCAATAGCCCAAAGCATGTGTCAGTTGTGAGAAGTGAGAATAATGGCAAAAAGCCCAGGTGCCCATGCCGGGAATTTATCCTCGTGGTAAAAGTTAACCATTGAAAGTGCGGGTGCTTGAGAGGCGTGTCTCTTGAAGTAAAAGGATGGCTATGCCATAATCGTCGCAGAATTTTTCAATCAGCGTTTTAGTTTTAATACTGGATCCATTAGCGTTCCAGGACGCGATGTTGTATAGCCGGTTGACTATGTGGGCCATTCAAAAGATTTCGGCTACTGGTTGGAAGGCTATAAGAGCCTTGGTTAGTAAGTCGCTAAGGCTTTTCAGAATATTAATTGCTGTTTTGGCAGCAGTTATTATTTTCGAGATGTTGAAACTTTCGACGAGGTCAATCAGCTCCTTTAGCTCAGAGAACGCGCCTGAAGCGTGCTGATCACCGATTGGCTGCAGGTTCTGCGGGCTCTGACGTGATTAGAGGGATTGCCCCCACCATGCTGGGGCGCTGGGGCGGCTGGGGTTGCGAGCGACGGGAAGTTAGTGCGCTGCTTCGCGTTGGTTAGGGCGGGTGTGTTGCCGTTACGCTGCTTGCGGGCGGCGCGAAGCCTTTCGAGTTGCTGATTGCGAACTCTTAGTGCTTCAAGGTGGAAACTGCATTCCCGGTAGTTGGCGGGGTGCGCTCCTGTGCAATTCGCACATTTTGGCTGAGTGTCTTGGATCGGGCATTGGGCAGAGTTGTGAAAACCCGCACAGCCCATGCAACGTGCTTGGCGTCTGCACCCGTTCTTGGTATGCCCCCAAGCGCAGCAATTTAGACAGAGTGGGATTCTGTCCTTGTCTCGCGGTTCTTCGAAGTTAATCTTTATACACATTATGAGCTTTATTCTCTTTAGTTCGTTGATTTGTGTTTGGTTGAATTCAACGGCATAAAGCCCATCGCCTTCAAATGTATTCGGAGCTACTTTTCTCCTGATTTCGCTTAGGTGG